TAAGTTGTTGGGAATTTGTTAACAATTTTTTAAGAAGTGTTCAAGTTTGAAAATATTTCATGAAATTCCAAATTTTTTGACAATATTAAAACAGTGTTATGACAATATTGATTGATAATGACTGAAGTTGCAAATAACAGAAGCACTGAAATTAGAAAAATTACGGATGCACCGTCTAGCCTAGTCTGATACACTCCTCACAACTGGTGTTTTTTAGACTATGGATAAATGACCCCAAATTTTTTGAACAGGTTTCAAGAAGAATAATAAAGTTCAAACAGGAGAAAACTGAGTTAGAGAAAAGTGAGAAGAAAAACGATAAATAGAAAAGTAAAAAACAAAATGTGCAGGCCTTGGCCCAACTACGAAAGGCATTCCTCCCGTCGAGCACCTATTGGCCCAGCTCCAGCACTCGCTGATATGGAAAAGGTTCATTGATTCAAAAAAAATATCCCCGTTTTAAAAAATTGTTCACTTTTTTCAGAAAACACAAATTTAAAAAATGTCCATTGAGTTCCAAATAATGTTTGCGCTTTCAAAAAACAGAATTTTAAAAATGTTCCCACTTTCAGAAAAATCTAGATAAATAAGAAAAATGTTCGGGGAAATTTCTGCATAATAAAATTTTAAAAGCACGAGCATTTAAAAAAAAGAAACAGAAAAGGTAAAACAGAAAAATGGCATTAAATGAAAAACGAACAGAAAAAAGAAAAAGAATAGTAAGAAAAAAAGGGTAGTTCTTGTAGTCCGCGTTTCTTAGTTAGACGGTGAAGCTTATTAGCTCATGTGGCTAGTGATGAGCGGCAATAGCGGGAGTTACGGGTCTGATCCGTCGCACTGCCGTTCCTTTTTTGGTTATTTTTTTCATTGTTGCGTTGCTCCACCAGCTGGAGGTTCAGAGATCAAATTGTGAGGAGGTTGTACCGAAGCAGAACTCTACATACATAATATCATAGCCACTAGACATCAAGTTACTACTCCCTCCATCCGGAATTACTTATCGGGAAAATGGGTGTATCTATACGTATTTTAGTTCTGGATACATTCATTTTTATATATTTCCGCAACAAATAATTCCGGAAGGAGGGAGTACTTACAACACCGGACAGCCAAAAGAATAGTGGAACTAAGTGGATCCCCTGATCACCCAAGCAGATGACTTCCGCTCTAGACAATGTCAAGGGAGATTCATTTTCCAGTGAACAGACCCAGTGTTGTCATGGACATGAGTTTAGTGGGCATTCATTTTCCAGCTCAAATGACAATTGAAAACACAAAAACAGAGAGCAGTTGGAAATGATTTGCAGGTTCGCTAAATAGAACAAAATCAGACGAGACCAGAATAGAATAGAATAGAATATTTGCCAGCGCTGCTTCGCATGCTTAATAAGATCCGAGTAATTTTTGGCAATACATACTCACCCTACATCCTAGTCCATAAAATGCAACACAATCAAAAAAATGTTCGCATGTCTATTTCCGAATCCAAAATATTTTAGAATTTTTAAAAATTATTGCATATTCAGAAAGTGTTCAAGAATTTAAAATAAAGAAAAATTTGAAAAGGAAAAACATCCAAAAAAACAATCGCTGCTTCGGCCTCCGGTGCGGCTGGGCCGGTCCATCTCGTGCTCTACTTTACGTGAGGGTTCCGTATGTTCTGCTATAAGTGAGGCATAGGGGCAGGGCTATGTTCCCTATGTCTGGCTTACAACTCTTGTTTTTTAGGAAAGTCTGGCTTATAGCTTATATGGAGATCATGTATATGAAAAATGTATACAATAAATTCATTGTGTATATAAATATAATGTATTTAAAACACTAATCATGCATTTTAAAAAAATAAAAATATTTGAAAAATATTAATCACGCATTTGAAAAAATGTTAAATGTGCATAGAATTCAATGTTGGCCATGTATTAAAAAATGCTGAAAAAATTGTCATGTATATGCAAATGTTAATCATGCATTTGAAAAAATGTGCAATAAGTATTTGAAAAATGTTAATCACGCATTTGTAAAATGTTAAATGTGCATAGAAATCTTTTTACCGCGTATTAAAAACATGTTAATACTGTATTTAAAAAAATTAAGCTAGCATTAAATCTTAAAAATATATGGCAAATATTGACCATGTATTCAAAAAATATTAATCTTATATTTGAAAAATGTTAACCAAGCTTTCAAAAAATAAAAATAAAACAAAACTTGTATACATAAAATGTTGACCGTGTAATAAAAATGATTAAAATTGCACCTGTAAAATGTTGAACATGTATTAGTAAACGTATTTGATATATATCCAAAATGTATATACAAAAACAGCGAAACCCCAAGGGAAAACAAATGAAAACCGAGAAAGAAACAAACAAATAGGTTTTCATCTAGTGTACTAAAGGGTACACTCTATAGTTTTTATTTTTCTAAAAAAATATAGGTTTTATTTATTTATATTTTCTAAACATGGTAGAATCGTTGATGCCTATATACACACACCCCTTTTAACATATGCACACACTCTACCCCGAGGTATTGAGCTGGCATCACACCTTGAGATGGATGAAGTCACCATGGGCACCTTGTAGTCAATAGGAACATCTCCCCCCGAGAACGAGCATCGCCGGAAAGGCTGAAATAAATCCAGGAAAATTTGAGCATCAGTGCCTAAGTCTACGACTTGAATCCTGGTGGGCTGATTCCACAAGAAACGTAACCATCTCGGCTAGGCTCAATTCGCTTTACTTATTTATAGTTAAATAGACAATTATGCATACTAGAAATCTATTTGAAGATATTTGTTAGAGATATGAGTTCTTAAGCTTTCTACAAGGATATTTTACAATAGTTTGAAGACATAAATACACTTATAACGATGTGTGTTAATTCACAAAGCGACATTATTTTGTCATTATTATGTTTTGATATCAAATAGGGTTTTCAATTCAACCAAAGTTTTCTTGTTAGTACCTTGAACCAAATGCGAACAAGATTTTTGTTGCAAAATGCAATATTAATTCAACACATGTGTATTTGGAAATATAGATTCGAGTAATAAAAAATAACATTCTATCTAAATTTTAACACCGTCATTGCATTGTTAATTTTTTTGAATATATTTAAAAATTAAGATCTTATGTTGATGTAATAATCATAGATAGCTGAAAAAGCTTGGTATAAAAATGTGTATTAGTTTAATAAATTATTCAGAAGATCAAAATTATTTTGAACAATTTCATTTCCAATTATGTTGAATCAATTGAATTTGTTTCTAAGAGTATCAATATAAGATTATCACTTAGTGGAAACGTCTTCATTTATCTTAGTCTGTCCCAGATTTCCTTCGATCTCTCCAATCATCATAAGCGAATAAATTGTGTTTTAAAGAGCTGGCTGCAAATCACATCCTTAGTTGAAATTGAGTTGTATGACTTTCTTCTCTTCAGGAGTGATATAGTAAGGATCATGTGTCCCAAATTTCATATAGATGACATTTTGGAAAAACTTTGTACTCACAAGCGCTGAGTAGGTCCCTCCTGTGGTCGTGAGCCAGCAACCGACGTGAGGGTCGCCGGTTAGCAGCCATGCCGCCGACGTGGAGCTCCTTTCCGTCGCGACCAGCAGCCATGGCGCCGTCGTGGAGCTTCCTTCCGTCGCGGGCGCCGCCGTGGAGCTCCCTTAATTCGCGACCACCGTCCATGCCGGCGGGGTAGCGCCTCTGGCTGGTGGCGCCATGGCTCCGTGGAGGGCGGCACGTCGGGCGCCATGGCTGCAGGCTGAGGCTGGCGGCGCGTTGGGGGAGAAGAGGCCATGGTGAGGAGAAGAGGTTCCAGGGAGAGGGAGCAGTAGTGGAGGCGGAGGGGCGGCCGGCCGACGCCGACGAGGTGGACGGATGGGGGGGCCGGCGCTGGTGGAAGGAGCGGCCGCCGACGCTCCATCGACCTCCTGGGGAAGAAGAGATGCAGGAGTGAAGAGAATGAGAAAGAGAGCTGACATGTGGCCCCCACGTGTCAGTTAACGGTCAAACAGACGATCAAACAATCAGTTTTCTTATGTGTGAGTCCCAATTGTCATAATCACGATCAATTGTAAAGCACTGGATGTTTTGGGTTTTTTGAAACAACCGGCCACCTATTTGGTAATTATCTAAGAAAAATTAAAAACCGGTAGTTTTTTGGAACCATAGCCTGTAAAGTAGTAGTTTTATGCTATTTACTCGGTTAAAGTTGCCGGTTGCACTCACTATAAAGGACAATGTGTTTTGAATTTCTTCAAGTTATGTGCGTTTGGATCTGAGGGTTCTAGCAATGATCCGGTGTTAGAGTGTATTGGAAGAAGAATAGTTCCTAAATTGAAGGATTCTCCTTTGGTAGCCAGAGCTCTAGGGCGCATGTCAAGGATGAACCATCAAGCATCGCATTGGAGTTCTATACTTGAGAGTGAACTGTGGGAGTCGGAACAAAAGGAAACCGAGATTTTTCCCTCCCTTTGGTCGAGCTACATTTGTTTACCACTCTATCTGAAGCAATGATTCGCATTCTGTGCCGTGTAGCCCAAAGATTACAAATTCAAGAAGACATGCTTACAGTGGCGGAGCTTCAATGCGAGAAGCTCCGCCGGTGCATGCTTAGCTGAAATTTGGGTAGCAGAAGACTTTGTGGAACCTCAAGATGGTGTTCCAATTCAAGACATACTACACTCACCCAACATCTCTCTCTCTAGTCGTATCATACCAATCATCAATCATCAAGTTACTATTTACAACGCCGGATAACTAACAATACGAGGGTGCCAGTTCAGTCACACCTCAGTGACCGGCCAACAAAATAGTACTCCCTCCGTCCGGAAATACTTGTCATCAAAATGAATAAAAGGGAATGTATCTAGATGTATATTAGTTCTAGATACATCTCTTTTTATCCATTTTGATGACAACTATTTGCGGAAGGAGGGAGTAGTAGTAATCCAGTGCAGCACCAGTTTTACTTCAAGTTCAGAGAGAGTTATAGGCTCTGATCGTCCAAGCATATCACTTCAGGCCGCGCCCCTCTGGACATCATTGACGATGACTCAGGAGAGGACTCGATCACCGTCAGCTTCTCGTCCAGATCGTGTATCTGCTTCTTCAGCTTCTCTCCACGGTCAGGCAGCCTCGACACCAGCGTCTGCGCCAGTTGTTTATTCCTCTTATCAGCAAACTATATATCATTTATTTTTATAGATAGGCACTGCTCTTTGTGTGTTTCCAGAAACAATTTACCGTGTTCGAGAGGGTTTGCGACAGGCGGTTGATTTTGGCCTTGATTTCCTCGGGGCTCTCTGAACTCGTATTGCTTGCAGAGTATGCTCTTGGAGTGAAGTCCTTCGGCTTGAAAGCATGGGCAGCGCTGCGACAAAATGTAGTCAGGTTAAAGTTGCCGGCTGCACTCACTCAGTAGACAATACTTAGAAAAGATTGACCTGGCTTACCCGTTGGCGACATAGTCCATCGAGGATGATGCCTTGTTGTACTGCCTGCCCATCATCGGCATGGCTGGGTGCTTGCTGCACACAAGAACATCAATTAAAGTTAGACAAGGCTTGGAACATGACTGCTAGTGCTAGCCAAATAAAAATGAGCAACCAGAAGCAACATTATTGCTGTGTGTTGAAAGGCATCAACACTGACCTCTCCATAGCTTCAGGCTCCAACGAAGGCAAGACTGCTGTTTTGGAAAATAGGAGGCTGTGATGGCTTACACCCGCTATCCCTTGTCGCTCCAGAAACTCTATGTGCTCCCTCAGTGACTCATCCCTGAAAATTTCAGTACAGGTAGGTGAACAAACATCTCAAAAGAGAGCAAGAATGATCACTAACATTTGCTATCAGGGAACTAAATTCAGAAACAAGCTGCCACATTTCTCTTTGGTCCCCACTGTTATCATAACTTTAACTAAAGCCTTTTTTTTTTGACAGAAAGACTGTAAGGGAACCCCTTACAGTATAATTGGTGCAACAAACCCAAATTGCAAGTACCATGCCTTGAACCTGGGTGGGTGGGAAGGCATCAGCCCCTTCCCACCACTAGGCTATGCCTTAGTCTGCAACTTTAACTAAAGCCTTCAGTACATCAACATTTCTACATAACTCATAGAGGAATCTCGACATTTTGTACATGTTCTGGCAGATTAATACCACATAATAATCAAACCAGTTTGTTATATTTCAAGTTTATTATGATAAAAATGTACGAAACGCACATTGTGTAAATGAAGTGCCGGCATCAACTATCTATACAGAGCATTGGGCCAATCAGCAAACAAACTATTCAAAGTATCACTTGGTCAACTCATCAAGACCAAAGTAACTCTGCCATAACTAATAGAACAAAAGATCTTACATGACAAGCTGCTGTCCATGCTCTTCCTGCAATTGCTTTTGTGTAAGGGAAACATCAAAACCTTGTGCTGGCAGACTAAAGAGCTCTTGAATGTCCTGAAGATATGCGAAGAATTAGCTATATTAGTGAGTAAGACATCCAGCAAGCATTGACAAGAAACAGATTTCATCAAAGAAATGTTAAGAAAGGGTATCAGGATCATCACCCTCTTGCTGAAGTAGCGTGTTTGTTCTTTCTGCTCTGTGGCTGTTCTAAACAAAGCGCCCTTGAAAACCTGGAAAAAAAGGACAATTCAAGGAAGGGGAGGTGTAAAACTAAAGCCAGAAGTGCCGTATGAAAAGACATTGGAGTAAAAGATTATATATCATATTTGAACCTGCAATTTGTATATCTTTTCTTCGATGGTTCCAGAAGTCATCAAGCGGTATACAATCACATCTTTGGTCTGACCAATTCGATAAGCACGATCCACACTCTGATTGTCCGTACTGTAAAAGGAAGATTGGTTAAGGAACAAAATAGTTGATGTAGGCATTACATGAAACCAAAAGGAGAAACACTTGATCATGATGTGCACTGTTCAGGTACCTTGGATTCCAAGCAGGATCGACCACGATGACACGAGCTGCCTTGGTGAGTGTAAGTCCAAGCCCACCAACTTGTGTGGTCAGCAAAAATATTTGTGCTCCAGGCCCCTCTTGGAAGTCCTGGAGATACAAATCATAATACGTAAGCAACATAAAAGATATAGTCGAGTCCATGGTACAACACAGCACAAGAAAAGTGATGCGTGAATATTAACCTTCACGATCCTTTCCCTCTCAGCAATCTTGGTAGTACCATCAATGCGTAAAAACTTGTAGCCCTCCAGTAATATAGCTTCCTGTTGCAATAGTCAAATATGTAAGTAAACAGGCCAAAGTAGGTAAGATAGGCCAAACTTGTAGCCTTCCAATAATGTAACTTCCACATTTCAAACATGATGATGATGGACAAAATCAACAGCATTTGGGTGCAAATAGGGCAAAGAATAGATGCTGTTAGACGCAATTTTGATCCCAGCAGTAGATAAAAATGCCAAGAGGCAAGTAGTCATGCTAAAGATCATTTTATCAGAACATTTGAACTCAAGCAGTTGTACTATTATTACTTGAATGATCTGGCTCTTATTGAACAGGACTTGGGCAGGAGGACTTGAATTATCATGTAATCAGAAAGCGACTCTAAGGTGAATGTGCATACATTTTAATTCATTATGTCTACGAAAAACAGTCTTTTACTCTACTTACAGAGTTCATCGTGTATGTCCGTATGTGGAAATACAAAAGCAATAAAGGATGGAAGTCAATAACTATGCTTTGAATACAATATATCAAAAGAAAACGACATGCACTGAAAAGCAAACAAGAACAGACCTGAATAAGGTTTAGCATTTTGCGCGTCTGGGAAAAGATAAGGACATGGTGTCCCTCTTCAAGAAGTTTCCGCTGCAACATAAGATACGAACCACTTAGTTTACGTAACAAATACTCCATCTGGTTACAACTTTTAGAGGACTGAAGAGAGTACATTTCTACCAGCTACTACACATGCATTCATAAAAAAACACTTACCAACAAGGACATGATAAAAATTAATTTGCACGAGACCTCCTCGCCGACTTGCAGCGCTTGGTCATCATGAGCCATGTCTGCAAGGTTCATGGCCATTTTCTCTACCATACCCATATCCTTGTTATCCAACATGCCTTCCATGCCTTCCAAGATGTCCTCAGCAGCTCTCTTGGTCAATATCAATGGATGGTCGCATATTTTCTTCAATACCTGTTGAAGAACAAGAAAACAATGAATGATGAAGAGACTGACAAGATAAATAAGGGCAAAAGAATAAAAATGTCCTCAATTCTATATACATGCCTTATACTTTGACAGAGGATCACAAAAACAAAAGCCATATTTTGAATTCGAGTGGGTATATGATGAGCATAACATGAACAAGAACTGAAGGAGTACATGAAAGCAATAAGAGGACAGATAAAGGTGGACAAGATCGGTGCAAAGAAAAGGCTTTGACACTGATGCTTACCGTGATTGCAGCCAATGGTGATCCTTGCATCGATGAATGAACAAGATCACTGTTCAGAAAAGCTTCATATAGTTGCCTCTGCACCCAAAAGAAAGACAGGTCAAGATTATCATTGGCCAATTATTCAACCAGTTTTACATTCAATTTACACCAGAATTTGTACCTGGCAAGCTGTTAACCTCAGCCAAACAATTAGCTCGTTCTTCTTGGAAAGTTTTTTATCATCTGCCGAACCAGTATCAAGGAACACTTCACTTTTCATACGACGCAAGAAGTATGGCTTTATACGCTCCCTTAATGCCTACAAAGAGTATTCAAATACCAAACAAGAAAACACATATTATAACAAGTTCAGTACGACAGACTCAGACTTTTCAACAATGAAATGCAGCAAACTGAGATGGATCGATCTATATGGCTTGTCATCATCTCATGGCTTAAACTAAAAGTGGACACTAATCGGTCTGGAATTTTAATGCAGTTACACACTTCTTCCACATGTTAAATCAGAGATGAATGTACTACTTTGCTAATATATGGATACAGTTTGTGTAATATCAAACTCAGTTGATGCCCAACTTGTAATTTCACAGCAAAATGGCAAGAGCAAGAACTAATGCTTGCACATATTGGGGTATATCAAACACCATAACATAGAGGAACATCTCATCTCCAAATTAATAAACACCAAAAAGTCAAAAACCATGTGGAAACAATACTCTGTTTTCGAGTCGTTCGACTAGTCGCGACTAGTCGACGACTAGTCGATGAGTAGCTGCTCCAGGTTCGACTCAGACTCTCGACTCGACTCCTGGCATGAGTCGAGCGACTCAAGCGACTAGTCTCGACTAGTCACGACTAGTCGCTCTTTCTGGGAAGAGCGACTCACTTAAATTGAGCCCAACTGTTATATGGGCCGGCCCATCTCCCCTGGAAACCTAGATCGATCATCCCCCACCCCCTCCCCCCGATCGAACCCTCTCTAGCAGCCACCCCTGGTTGCCCCTGCTGCTGTTCTGCTCCTCCCCTCCTCTGTTCTGCTCCTCCCC